CCCTCCACATCTCTGTAATCGGACCTTTTCCACCGGCAGTCAACAGGAAGAGGAGTTTCTGCTTCCAGGTGAAGCGCTCCCCCGCCGCCTCGCTTCGCCTCGGAAACCCAAACAGGCGTGGCCGGCCGAGCTGCTGCTCGCGCCCCGACGCGACGGGCCCTGTGCTTCTCCATGACAAACAGCTATTAAATTTAAATTACCAGCGTTTTGTAAGATCAACTAAAACAACAGAGGTCGCGGGCGGCGTGCATTAGCACACATCTCTGTAATATCCAGAGAACACCGGGGCGCTGTTTGGCGAACAGGCCTCTCTGGGGACCGGCTTCTAATCTGAAGACGCAACATGACACAGCAAGCTGTTGTATTCTAATAACACATATCTGTCATGTCTAAGTGGCAAGAAATGGCTGATGGACTGGAACTCGATTGCTTTTGGCGGACACACGTGTGCCACCGGTCGACTGAAATAACATTTCACATACAAAAGTCTTTGTAACATTCAATTTTACAAGGTAAGAAAAGAAGAGAAAGACACAGAGAGAGAGAGAGAAAGAGAGATTGCTCCTCAGCATTCAGCAGCTATTTATAGCACAATGCCAAATCTCAGCAAAGCCGCAGGTACACGACATATTTATTTTATTTAGACAGCAATAGAGAGGAAAAATAAAACTGTGATTCATTTAAATCCAAACCAAAAGAAATGCTCTGCTGTGCTGAATCTCCAACAGGGATGAGTAACACCATATTTCACCAGAGGCCAAGAAGTAGGAAAATGGCAAGACTGCAAGGGTGTGGCAGAAAGAAATTATCAAAACACATTTAAAAAATATATATATATATATATATATAAAAACTGGGAGCTGGGAGCCTTGGTGCTAAAAACCGACACTTTTTTGTTTAGGTTCACACAAATCCTTAAATGATTGAGCCTCTTAGCACTGAGCCCTCCCCTGTTATTTGAAGCTCATCATTCCAATTGATGCAGATTTTAACCTGCAAATCACTGCAGCTGTGATGCCATCTGGGATGTTCATGGTTCGAGTCATTGCTCTGTGGAGCTCCTGTGTGCCACTGGGCTCCTTTGTTATCTATAGAAAATATTATAAATATGAATGTAAAAGATTCAGAAATTTAAAGCAGTATAAATATTGAGGTGGTGGTTTGGGACCCACATCTTTCACGTTAATGTAGGGCTGGACGATATTTCTGAAAAACTTATCACAATATAAGCGTTTCATCACAGACGATATCAATAATTATCGGTTTGTTTTTTGTTTGGAATATCTGAAATAATGCCAAGCTGGTGGTGTGACCTTTCCTGTTTTATCCAGTTTTAAAGCAGCTATTAGACACAGTGGCGAAACCTGAAACTGCGCAAGTTACTCATTGCTAAGTAACAAAAGAGTGAGTTAGTTGACGCCACTGCTCAGCTTGCTGCCTTTCTTCTGCCTACATCTCCCAGAATGCCATTCTGAATCGCAGCTCAGCGAATATTCTACACATCAAATATTCTATCAGATGTATTATCTATTTATATTGATCATGTGTCTATCAGATGGACTAAATCGGATTAAATCTCCATTTGCAAACAGCAACAGCTTTACACATCAGCCACACTTGCAAATTTAAAGTCTTTCCAGGTGCTGCTGGTGGGACTCTTATTTTCATAAGTTTAAAAGCTGATGCATATAAGTTGGAACATTAAGAACAGTAAAGTGATATTAAACGAAACACAACACACTGTAAATGTAACTATATTCCCGATAGCCTCACAACCGCTGAAATAGCTGATTTTTGTTTCATAAAGTTCTGCTCAAATACCCTCAATGTGCAGTTTTTATTAGCAGGTGAATTTTACACCAGGGCTCAAATAAATATAAAATAAAAAAGATTAATAGGAGGAAAACATCCGGCTGCAGCTGTTTGATTAAAAAAAAAAAAATCAATGAAACCAGAAAAGCTAATTTGTCTTTTGAGAGACACTCTGCTAAAAATAGACAACTTCATGTCTGATTTCTGGTGAACGCAAGCTTCTCAATTAATTTGTTTTTCTATCAGGATCTGCTGCAGACATTTCCACAGTCTGTGGCTTCAGATATTGAACCTGCAAAAACAGCAAACAGAGGAATCAAATGAATAGATGGACGGATGCAATCTTTAGACAATCTAACAAATGAAAAGTTAAACAGTATTTAAACCTCTTGCAATAAGAAATTAATCAATTTAGCAGTTAATTATATGATTATATGACAAATTAAAATTAGCTCAATATTTCCATTTTATTTAATATTTTGGTTGAATTTTATTGTTGATATCTAAAATATCTTCCATTACCAGTTTTCAGTGTTCCGTATAAAATGAATGTTTATCATTGAGAGAGCAAACTTGCATCACTGTGCCATAATCAATGTCTTACCTGAAAATGGTTTTAAAAACAACAATACCATGATTTACTGCTACTACTGAGACAATTTATCATCCAGCAGAACTTGCTGTTGTGACAGCCCCAAACATTTTGATCATTATTTAAACCCCTTAAATCAAACTCAAAACGTTTCCAGAATTTTCCCCACACTTTGCAGAAATCGTGTACAATTCCCAAAAACAAAAAAATCTCTAAAAACGTGCCATTTTATTAAGTCTGTAAATCAGACCTATTGCCGTTTTGAGCTTGCTGCTGGTCATGATTTAGCAGCGTCTGGAGAGGCTGGACCACAACTGGGCGTATAAACCCCATCGCCATCTGTTTGTTCACCTTAAGCCTGGCTGAAGGCTTGATTTTTCAGCCAGGGTGCCACGCTGCGGTTTCCTCAGCAGATTGATGGCAAGCCTCTGAAGTTATTGCTTTTATCTCCAAGACCAGTTTTCAGGAGCTATGGGAAGTAAACTCACATATAGCAAAGAGCCCATTGCATATATATATATATAACTTTAACCGTGGCCCAGATGTTTTAGCATTATTGTTGAAATTAAATTCATCTTCCCCGATCTGTATGCTGCCTGCCAGCTTTCAATTCTTGCTACTGCTGCCTATTAATGTTTGATGAAGTTAATTTAGTTTGATTTATGCAATTTGACAATGTGTATTTGTCCCGTTTGTTCTCATTTGTTCCTGTTTGCCCCATTGATCTAAATTGATGCAGCTACACATAAGCTTGTGTCTGAATAGTAACCTTTAAGGAATACTCAGCTGGGTAATTAATCTGGGGGAAAAAAAAGAGAGAGAGAACAAGCATACAGTTTAAAGTCTTTGAGTTTTTCATTGCGTTTTAACATGTACATAAATGGCTTTCATTTTTTGCGGTTTGCGTTCACATGGCATTGTGTCAAACAAGCCAAACCCTTTGATAAACCGGTTCACCCCCCTCACCAGGGGTGGCGCTGCCCCAAGAATTACTGAACTTTGGATTTTAACTCCTGTCTTTTGTCTTTGGTTACAGACAGTGGGCCACTTTCTCCCACTGGCGTAAGACTCTCAACGTTTGTTTAGTTTGTTTTTACCCCAGATTCCCAATGCTACAGTTCACTTCCTGCTTCAACCAAATCGAGACCTCGGCTTTTAGGCGGACCAGAGGTTGCTTTTTTGGTCTGCATCAGAATTTGATTGTGTATTCACGTCTCTCCAACCAAACCAGACATTCAAGGCAAACAAATATTGAGTTTTATTAAAGTGGGCTACACAGGGGGGGTGGTGTGAATGCAACCTCATAATTAGGTGATTTTTGAGGCAATTCCTTATGTAAGGTCCAATTTAGGAGTATGGTATTCAAGGGGTTGAACACAAATGCACACCACCTTGCTCATATTTGTAAAACAACCAAACCAAACGTGTATCGCTTCATGCGTCTATATTAAAACATGTGCACCCTGCGCCCGGGCATGCATGCGAGGACATTGCTTTAAATCCACAGGCAGCAATAAATGAAATCCCCTACTACTAAGTGGTGACACGTTTTGTCACCACTTAGGTTGACAATAATCTGAAATGTCATTGATCCCTGTGGGAAAGTGCCCCGTCCACTCCTGGGCCTGTGGGAAAGGTCAGAGCGCAGGGGCCACGTGCAGAACACGGAGCCAGGAGCTGCAGGAGCTGCAGGAGCTGCAGGAGATTCACAGACTGGCTTCTGAGGATGGGAGAAATACTCATGCTGCAAGTTAATCATCGCATTTCATTCCAGTGAGTAGGATCAAGCCTCCTGATCTCCAGCAAATCCGAAAGAAGATGCTTCAAATCGCACCTTTCTATGACTGACACAATGCAAACAAGTGGCACTTGTGCAGCAATATAATCCTTTTTTCTTTTTCTTTTTCCTCTTGCAGAGCAACAATGAACCTTTTCATGCAACAGAAATGTCATGACTTCAAAGGCCTCCAGTGATGCTGTCCTGTCAGCTCTCATTTCTGCAAATCCAGTTCAGCAATCAAAAGAGCTGCATAAAAAAAACCTCCCTGCTATTATTAGCACACTAAAGCACTCTGTATTCTGCTGGGTTTTTCATTTTCTTTTTTTTTTTTTACTTTGCAATTGCTCATCTTTGAGCCTCTGACTCTGAACTTCTATAATGTGAGCCGTTTGAATTTCAACACCAGCAGCGACCCAGAAAATGTGGGACAGTGAAAGGCAGCTTCGTCTTCACCTCCATGTCTCTTCTACAACATTTGACCCCCACTGACTTGTGTCACCTGCGGGGAAACGCGGACAAACAGGGACATGAGGGAGACCAGCACGCAGATGAGGACCGGACTGGACCGAACCCGGGAGGATGGGGGCTGGGGAGGGGAGGTTGTCTCACATGCGGGAGTCCGTGGCGATTGTCGCGCATTCCGTCACGGACTCCATCCATCCATCCATCTATCCATCCATCCATCCATCTATCAATCCATCCATCCACCCATCCATCCCCTCCATGCATTCACGCATGCAGCCGCAGCCGAACCAGCGCGAGACACAGAGTCTACCTGTTCGCACGAGACCACCGGTGACGTTCCGTGCCCCTTACCTCTTCCTTTTGTCTCCTTTGACATGGTGTCCTCTCCGGTGCGCACCTGTTTCCTCAAGCCGTCCCCGCGTTCTCGCTCGTCGGGGAGTTAATTAGGCAGCAGCTCAGCCTCCCTCCGCCCCTCTCTCCTGGCGGCTGCACCTGCCAGTCCGCAGCGGGGTGAAGCGGGCTCTGCCTCGTCGCTTCTGCTCCCTCCTCTGAATCCCCGTTCAGCGGCGGAAGAAGCGGGGCTTGAAGCCACTGCGGAGTTCTGATTCACCTGTGCGAAGTCCAGCGGAGCGCCGTGCCGCAGACATGGCTACTTTAGGCGGCGCGTTGTTCCTGTTCAGACTTTGCTCAAATGTCATGCCCACCACAGCTCCCGCTCTCCCCGTCCGTCTCTCTCCTCTCCTCGTCTCGTCTCTCCTCTCCGCCGCAAACATCAGCCGGAGTTGCTTCACACACACAGAGGCTCCGCTCTGCAGCTCGACTGCCTCCAGCGGTGCGCGCGGTCCGGGACTGAGGCCGCCGTCCTCTGCGCCTTCACCCTCTGTGTTTTCGCCCCCAAAACAGCCAAGGGAAACACGGAAGGCGGACTCGTTAAGGGAATATAAAGGTTTACACCTGTTCAGCAAGACGAGCAGTTGATAAGGGCAGCATGTGGAAAGGCAGGTGACAAGAACGAGCTCACAACTTTAGAAACACACGTAGTTCCAGTTGATGTCATTTGTTGCTTTGAGTCTTTGCGAAATATTCTTGGAGCTTTTAGTTGCGTTTGTTACATTTTCCGACCAGCTGCTTCTCAGTCCGAAAAACAAACTGGAACCACCTTCGCAGTCGGATTTCCTGCCGCGAGACGAGCAGCGACTCCGAGCGCCGCCGTTACGAACCGGCGCGTTCTCGAATTCCAACATGGCGACGCCCATAAACTTTGTTACCTGCACCTCTCAATACCAATGTGAGCGCTGCTTTCACTGAGCAAACACAACTTTTAATCTGGTCAGTTTAGAGTTTCCGGCGCAACATTTGTTTTAGGCGCAGGGAAGCGTTTGTAAGACAAACGTGTTCCCCACACGTCTAACCTCTGCTGCGAGGAGCGGCCATGTTGTTTGAACATGGCCGCTCCTCGCGTCATAAGCAGTAAGATGGAGAAGGACCTCGCTGGTTGGTAAGATGTGGCGGAAACGGGTTCATATGACAAAACACGCATGTCAGAGTGCGTCTAACGTCAACGTCACACCATGTATGACGTTGACGTCATACATGGTGTGTAAACATAAACAAACATAAACTTAAAACCGGAAGTAAAGCGTCAATGGCGTCGCCATGTCTATTAACGACTTAACTAGAAGGCTGTCTGAAAAAAATGACCAGTAACCCTTTTCCTTTCAGTTCATAATGTCCTATCATGTCTATACGCATCTCATAAAATCCAAACAGAACAGATTGAAGTTTTAGGTTGCAGCGTGAAAAAATAGTGGAAAAAAAACCACGAGTGCATCTGCAAGGTGTCTGCTGCATGTGGAGGTGTGAGCCATCACCCTTGTTAACTCTGAATCACTGAAGCAGCAGGTGCCACCCTGGTCATCCAGGGGCAGCAACCAGAGCAGAAAGAAAACATTTTTTGGATCTGTCAGAGGCTCAAGAATAGAAACTCTTAAAAATCGAACTCCTGCTTTTCCCAGGGACAAAATCAAGCCATTGAGTCACTTTCCCACAGATTTACTTTGGAGCGTTTTAACTCGGCAGATGTTTCACCTTACAGCTAAATCTTGATTCACTCTTAAGTCCATATCTGAATGGCGGCACTTGACTGTGATTGCCTTTAAATAGCTCCTCTCACACATTACGCTGTCATCGTGCGTGAAGTGGCCACAGCAGCACCTGCTGCTTCCACCCCTTGCTTCCTCAGATGGGATCACGCGTGAGATCCCGTCGCCAACAAAGCCCCACACAACGACAGACGAAAACCGACGCAAGGGGAAAATGCCCGTGGTCGACCCGTCGCCCTGGAATATAAAAGACTGGCGTGCTACATTACCGAGCTCCAAAAGGAACACACAAAAGCAATTTGTTATTTTCATGGAAGTCGGCGACGGCCTGCTATTTGTGTGGAGCGCCGAGCTCAGATTCCACAGAGGAAAACTAATGGAAAAGGCCTCAAGGCCAGGAAGTCGAGGAGACGGATAGAACTGATCACGCCAAATGACTGAACTGTCAGCGTCCAGGAAGAGAGACAGAGAGAGAGAGAGAGAGAAAAAAAGGCTCATTGGATTAAATCTGATGGAGTTTGCAAAGTTTTCATCATTTGTTTGAACAAGGGTGTGACTTCCTGAAGGACTGGTGGGGACATGTCCCCACCAAGTCTGGCATGAAGGGGACATGTCCCCCACCAACATTTCCTACACTTTTTTCTTTATGTGCCTTCAGAACTGATATAAACCAAACTATTTATAGATTTATTGGCAGGGAGAATTTATACAAACATCTCAGCTTTAAGCCCCGTTTTACAGAATCCAGTGATAAGTCCACTCACCAACTGCTCCAACCAGACCCATAAAAGGTTTTGTGTCTTCATTAAATGTTTTATTAAAGACACATCGTATCTCATCCGCTGTATGTGAGTCAGAAGGACAAAAGGTTTTGCCAACCAGCTGAGGGACAGCTCAGTCACATCACTGAAAAATACCAAGTTTGAACAAGGATTCATTTGGTTCACACAGAAGTTACTTATTCTGCTTCTGAGAGGTTTGATAACATTTTGATTGTTACAGGACGTTGTGTTGTTGATGTTTTTAGCACTTGATAAAATCAAATAACAAAAGGCAACTATGTGATAATTCTTCCAAAAAGGAAAAAACAAGTGTTGGAGAAAAAGATCCCTTGTCAGCAGTTCCATCACCAAGTGGATTTATTAGATCACTTCCATTTTGATATATTTACGTTTCTGCTAAAAGGTTATTTTTCGAAAGGTACTATTAATCTGACCAGCCTGATCAGGACGTATATCCTAAATTATTGAATATGACTGTATGACATTCACATTTAAGTTTTTGCTTTACTTTTATTACTAAGAAAACAATTAACTGTGGGTACAACTGTGGGGGAGTGACCCGCCACTCCCCCAGTTCCTCCTTGTCCCCACCGACTTGCGACACAAAGTTACACCCTTGCGTCTGAAGACTAGCTTTCACTGTCTTTAAGAGACACAACTAAGAACTCTGCTGCAAAGATGTCAACGGTTGCTGACGTAACGTACAGGACACTGAAACTCTCCCAGGCTGCTCTGTTTATAACCACTGCGGGGCTTTCTGGGAAATGGAGGGAACATTTGCTACAGCAGCACAAAGCGCATTAGGAGCTATTAAAGAGTCACAAAATACAGCATGCTGGCCAGTCAGCAGACAGAAGTTGCTAAGGTGCATATTTTTTTGTTTCCGCCTTGTGGGGAGACAAATGCACTTTACTTTGCTTTACTTCTGTACCTCCACTGACTGAACAGAGAACAAACAGCATCGCGAAGACCAGCAGAGACACATAAGTCAGGAATCAAGGTGTGTGGAGGTTTAAAGCAGGTTGAAGCTATAAAACGGCATCATAAGATTGAAGCTTTTCTCAGAAAACGGTTCAATCCGCCATCTGAAAATGGAAAAAATAACGTTTTGACCCACACTGGTCACTACCTACACTGACAAGGAGTAAACAAGAGGGAACTCTCCTCAAGTGGCAGAATCTGGAGACAGGTTATAGCCACGCATGCCACAAATCTGGCCAATAGGAAAATAGCAAGGGAGAAGCTAACTTTGAAAGAAAGCAGGAAGAACTTCAGTTTAAAGTAGGGGAACGGTGAGGACGAAGATACTCTGGTCAGATAACAAGAATCTAACTTTATAGCATTTATACAAATGGGTGCTTTTCAGCTGCAGGGAGAAACTGGCATTAGTTCAAGGGAAGTAAAATAAAATCAAGTAATAATAGTAACACAAAGATAAATGTTGAGACACCTTCAATAAAGAAAAATGTAAAATCCAATAAATTAAAGGGAAAAAAATCAGCAAAAGACTTCAAGTGGAAGTTTAGCTTTTAACGAGAACAATCATGAACATAGAGTCAATTTCAATGGAATGGTTTTAATTTAGTACATGTTCATCTGTTAGAATGGCCCAGTTAATGTCTAGACCAGGTGTGTCAAACTCATTTTCGTTTTGGGCCAAATCAAAATCATGAAGGCTCTTAAAGGGCCTGTTGTGCCAGAATGTTTTGATAAAACCTGTTCACAAACTGTTGATGTCAATGAATTCTTAAAATTACATCATATTATTGAAGATCTATTCAGTCCCTTCAGGAACTAATAATAAATAAGACTTTTTATCTACTCGCTGTATAAATCATGGACTATAATCATACATAAACTAAATTCTCAAGAAACTGGAGGGATTGATTGATATAAATTGGCAGTAAACAGATAAAAACTGCATTGATATGATTGATAATATAATATTTAATCACACTTAGTGTTTAGTTTAGTCTGTGGAGGGCCACATAAAATGCTTCGGCAGGCCGGATTTGGCCCCCGGGCCTTGAGTTTGACACATGTGGTCTAGACCTAAATCCAACTTGCAAAAACTGAAAGATGCAGTTCACAGATGCTCTCCATCCAACCTGAGTCACAATGAGCAAAACTGTCAAACTCCAGATGACAAAACCGACAGATGACTAGACGAGCCACATTAGATGGTCATTTAAAGGGACAGTATTATTTGTTTTCCATGCACATATTGCCTTTTTATAGTACAGTGAAGTAGCTATATGAACTTCATTTGCTATAAAAATGTTGTATATATCACATATGGCCTATAAGGAATTTAACACCTTGAAATTGGGCTTCTGTCTCTTTAAAAACTCCTGTTCGTCCTGAAACTCTGCCCTCAGGAAGTCACCAACACAAGATGGCTCCTATATTAACTCTTTAACGACATTTTTACCAGCGCTGCATTCAGAAGTAGCTCGTATAATGAACTTGGCAAACGTACAGTTCTACCAGGTGTTTGCTAATTGCTGCTGGCTAGTCTGAAGGAGCTAAGTGGGGAGATCACGGGGAAAGGCTGCTCTGTGAGGCAGAAGCTCAGACGCTTGGAAACTGCAGCTGCACCCAGAAAACAGAGAGGATGCGGCTTCGGCTCATTCAGCCATTTTGCACAGCTGAATGGCTCTCAAACGTACATGAAAGGTTTTTGACGAGGGAGCAAATAACATTATGACATGTTGCAAAGCTCAAAAGATGTGCTGAAAATTTTTCGTTTTCCAAAATGTGTCAATCGGGAAACATATTACACACAATTATGGAGCAATAAGTATGAAGATTTAAACATTTAACCAGTAAGATCAAGTTCACCACGACTATTACTCTAACTGTGATGAACTCACCCGAACTGACATTGTTATACTTTTTGTCTTTTTAAAAACACCCACAAAAAAGACTTGCATAAATCTCTACAAAGAAAGGAGTACCACTGTCACTTTTAACACAAAAGCATCTTGATGGCTTAACGCATACATAGTAAAGACAAAAATCTATGCTTCCTCCGAAATATTAGAAAGAAATATATTCATAAGCATGTTGACTGCCAGATCA